CCCCCCCCATGAGTCCCACGAGGGTCCCCCCCATCCCTCCCCACATGTCACACCAGTGTCCCCCTTGGCCCCCTCAGCCCCCCCATGTGTCCCACGAGGGTCTGTGTCCCCCGTCCCTCCCCACACGTCACACCAGTGACCCCCTTGTCCCCCCCCAGCCCCCCAAGGTGTCCCACGAAGCCCCCCTTGACCCCTCCACGTGTCCCATCCCTCCAACCCCCCGTGTCCCATGAGACCCCCCCACCCCCTCCACATGTCCCATCCCTCTCTTGACCCCCCCAGCCCCCCCACATGTTCCACAACCCCCATGACCCTCCCACATGTCACACGAGGGTCCCCCCGTCCGTCCCCACACGTCACACCAGTGACCCCCTTGTCCCCCCCCCACACCCCCCCCCCCCCCCCCCCCCCCCCCCCCTGCCCCCCCCCCGGGGCCCCCCGGGCCCCCCCCCCCCCATGTGTCACAGCCATGGACATCGGGGGCCTGGAGACGGCGGTGGCCAACTCCGCCTACGTGTCGGCGCGGGGCGGCCCCGGCGCGGGGGGCAAGGACAAGCGGGCGCGGGCGCGGCTCCGCCTGCCCCACATCTCCCAGTGCGAGGCCCTGCGCGCCCAACTGGGCGGCGCCGGCACCCAGAACGGGGGGCCCGCGGCCCCCAACGGCCCCCCCAGCCCGGACGGGGGCCAGGACACGTCGTTCCGGTGGCAGTGCGTGGAGCAGCCCATCGGGAAGCTGCTGTTCCGCCGCTTCCTGGAGGGGACGCCGGAGTTGTCGGCGGCCGGGGCGCTGTGGGCCGAGCTGGAGGCCTTCGAGCAGTGCGAGGACGCCGAGAGGGCCGACAAGGCCAAGAAGCTGCAGGGCAGGTTCTTCACGGCCGGCGGGGCCGAGCACTGCGGCTTCCTGAGCGCCGCCGCCACGGCCGTGCCCGCAGGTGAGGGGCCGACGTGGCGCTGACGTGGCGCTGATGTGGCGGGCGTGGCACCGGCATGGCAGCCATGGCATCAACATGGAGGCCATGACACCAATATGGTGGTCATGGCACCGGCAGGGCGGCCATGGCAACAATAAGGCGGATGTGGCACTGACATGGCAACCATGACACCAATATGGTGGTCATGAAACCAATATGGCGGCCATGACACCAATATGGCGACCATGGCAACAATATGGAGGCCATGACACCAATATGGTGGTCATGACACCAATATGGTGGCCATGACACCAATATGGTGGTCATGACACCAATATGGCAGCCATGACACCAACATGGCAGTCATGGCATCAATATGGCGGCCATGGCAACAATATGGCGGCCATGGCACCAATATGGTGGTCATTACACCAACATGGTGGGCATGACACCAACATGGCGGCCATGGCACCACTATGGTGGTCATTACACCAAAATGGCGGCCATGACATCAATATGGTGGTCATGGAATCAATATGGCGGTCATGGAATCAATATGGCGGCCATGGAATCAACATGGCGGCCATGACACCAATATGGCGGTCATGACACCAATATGGTGGTCATGGAATCAATATGGCGGCCATGGAATCAATATGGTGGTCATGGCATCAACATGGTGGCCATGGCAACAACATGGCGGCCATGACACCTCCCCGACACCCCCAAAGGCGGCCATGACACCTCCAACGGCGGCCATGACACCCCCAATGGCAGCCATGACACCCCCAATGGCAGCCATGACACCTCCCTGACACCTCCAATGGCAGCCATGACGCCCTCGATGGCAACCATGATGCCCTCAATGGCGGCCATGACACCTCCCTGACACCCCCACTGGTGGCCATGACACCCACAGTGGCAGCCATTACACCCCCAACGGCAGCCATGACACCTCCCTGACACCCCCAATGGCGACCACGACGGCACGGGCAGCCATGACTCCCCCCGAGAACCGCCCCGCCGCCCCTCACCGCCCCCTCCTTTTGCCCCCTCCCGCCCCCCAGGCTCCGCCATCCCGGGCGACGCCTTCGCGCAGGCGCGGCGGGAGCTGCTGGAGCACCTGGAGGCGGCGGCCTGGGGGCCCTACCGGGCCTCGCCCGAGTTCGGGCGCTTCGTGCAGTTCAAGTGGCTCGAGGGGCAGCCCGTGGGCGCCGACGCCTTCGTGGAGTTCCGCGTGCTGGGCAAGGGCGGCTTCGGCGAGGTCTGCGCCTGCCAGCGCCGCGCCACCGGCAAGATGTACGCCAACAAGCGCCTCAACAAGAAACGCCTCAAGAAGCGCAAGGGATACGAGGTGGGGGCGCTTTGGGGTGGCCCTCGGTCCCCTCGGTGGTCCCTCAGTGCCCAAATCTGTCCCTCTGTCCCCAAATCTGTCCCTCGGTGCCCAAATCCATCC